TCAAAGGACTCTACCTCTGGTTGTTCAGGTTCCTCCATTTGAGGCTCAGGGACCGGGGAGGTACGAGCTTGCACTTCTACCTGCAACAGCTGAAACTGATGTTGCAGTGCTCTAAAGCTTCCTGCTTCCTGGGCCTCCTGCTGACCCATATGAGAACGAAGCATGGAAATCAGTTCTGACATTGTCAGCTCCTTACCTTGGCTCTCAGTACTATCCACCCCTCCAGAGGCTCCATTTTCCTCTCCTCCTTCTACTTGCTCTACCACTCCAACTGGCTGGTTTTGACAATCTCCTTTTGCTCCTCTGCCACTCCTTCCCATTCTGTGCATGGCTTGATGAGTGAAGAGGGGAAAAAAGAGAAAAAAAAATCCTGTGCCTTCAACTGCTGATCCCACTCCTGACACCACTTGTGATGGACCGAGCAGTGAAGGAAACTTAGGCACAGGTTAAAGTCCAAAAAAAGATTTTTTATTTAACCCAAAAAACATAATTGGTTAACTCATGCAAAAAGAATCAAAATCTTGGGCCCATAAAAGAGGTCAAACTAACAAAACTCTACTCAAAGTTGACAACACAACTGATAATTCAAACAAACTGACCTAACTTAACGAGACAAAGGGGAAACTTAAATAGTGGCTGATCAGCCCACAAAAACAGGAGAAGGGGTAAAACACACAAAACCTAACTAAACCAAACATAATGAACTCCAATTCCCCCCCCATGGTCCTGAGTTATGGCGTGAACCAATTTGTAGCCTTCCTTTAAACCTCGCTCCGCCCCTTTTCCACCTCTTGGCTCCTTAATCAAGGGACTGGAACAGCTGCAACTAAGGTAACTCAGAAAACAAAAGATTAATCATACATAACAGTGTAAACTAAAATGTGCGCACTTATTTTAGAATGAAGTCTATGTGGATATGTGAATTACCTCCAAAAAAGTCGAATTTCCCAGAGGAACCCACCCGAGGGATTAATAAAGTTCTATCTTATCTTATCTTAACCAAAACCAGTTATTTATTGTCCTGTCAATAAATTCCTATATTTAAAGAAAGAAATGTGAATGCAATGTTACTTATAAGCCTCTACACTAACATGGTGATATTACCACTGTGTGGCTGTAAGTGCAGCCATCACACAACTATAAACCCCGTTAGTTAGTTTTGTATCTTTTATTAGTTTAATTCTAATTTCATTTTTTATTTCAGTTTCCTGATTGAGTTTGATATAATTATTTCTGTATTACTTTTACTTGTTTCTTTATTATAATATGTTTGATGATGCCTGACTCACATTCATGTAAACATCCAATTTGCAATAAACATATTAATCAAAATGACCACAAAAAAACATTAAAGACTAAAAAACATTCCATCTCTGTTGGATTTACTATACTTTAGTTTTGTGCATAATATACACTGCTTGGTCATAAAGTAACACGAGTCAGTAAACTGTCAGGGAAATCAAAATGCCAACAGGTGCACGAATGGTAGCATTGAGGTGTAGGTCCCACTGCGGGACGCTGGGTCCTCGTGTCATCCTCATGGAGTCCATCTCTGGCCAGAAACATGCACATGAGCAGACATCTGGAGGTCATTTTCAGGAACTCTGGCAGTGCTCTTCCTGTTCCTCCTGCTGCTAGGTTGTTGCCCTTTTATGGCCCCTGTCTAAACCATCTCCTGGTATCACCTCCACACTCTTGAGAGTGATATGAGAGAAAAAGCAAACCTGGATGGATCTGCCACCGCAACCCGAATGGGCTGCAGGTATCATGCCACTGGTACCAGCAGTGACAAGGAGACCAGGGAGGAATAAGAAGAGAGAATTGGTCTGTGGCACCGCCTTGGGTTTGCTCAGCTGAGACAGGTTCACAGCGGTTTCTGATTCCTGATTGGGCAGATAAATATCCCTGAAGTTTAACTGGCTCTGTGTTACACTGTGATGACCAAGTAGTCCCTTAATTATTTGAGCAGTGTACCTTCAATCAGTTTGTTTATTTCAAAAGTCTAGTTAGTTTTTATTGTATTGTATCGTGGTTGAGAGCCAGACGATCACTACACTTCTGTTTCACTACATTTCAAAAGGAAAAAACTACATACAAGTGACTTAAGCAGTGGTGAGGAGGACTAAGGTCCTCTACTGAAGCAACACCACCATGTATAAACCAGGCCAACAAAACACCACAAAGCTATTGAAAGTTCTTCATTTGAAGCCCTGAAAAGGTGACTCATCAGCTACATTTAATTAAATATCAACAGTAAAAGAATTAATTTACTTTGTAATTATTAATACTAATATCTAAGTGATAATAACCAAACAAATGAGAGGGCTCAGTGCTAATAAAATACTGAATTTTGACTTTGTTTCTTTCTTTTCTGTTTAAAACAGGGAGTTTTAGCTTCAGGGGAATTTCTTAATGTAAAACAAGTCAGGACTGTAAAAGATGGCAAAGAGTCATAACTAGCCAGTATTGATTTAATCTTCACAAAAACAACCTCTGTTGTCTTAACCCTAACCCCTAATACCTGACCCTTTTTAGTTTGGGGAAATTCTACTAAGTCCTGGAAATCAGGACAAAATGACTTAATTTTCTGAATTTATTTTTAAGGATTTAGTTTTGTTGTTTTTTTAACAGTGTAAATAACCTGAAGGTGAAGTGGAGCTTCTCTAGATTTTCAGTGAGTTTTAGGCTAGTTCTAATACTTATGTTTAAAGCTGAGTGCTCCAGTTAGGGTTAGATCTCATAGGGTCAGTCAGTGTTGAAATATTAAAAATAATTAAAGCTGTGTGAGAAATGTGAGAATTGAGCATTTGCCTTTCTTATGCAGTGAGGAAGAAGCAGAAAGTTTCTTGTTTTGCATTAACTTGAGAAGCAAAAGGCTTTGAGTTAATAAATATGTAGTTGCCCTCCACGACTGCTTTCGCTACTTGTCACAGGTCTGAGGCAAAAAGGTTTGGATTGGTTTAATTAACCTTTTCAGGCTGAAGCAGGTCACATTCACAAAAAGCGAAGGTTGATTTATTTTTCCTTTCCACTCCGATTAATCGTCTCACACCTTTTGGCCTCCTGAGCTACAGATGACGAGGATTTTCTAGCTCTGGTTACTGACTGAGCAGTAAAGCCAGACCCGAGGGCTCAATCATCCCTTTTGACTCCCGTGGGTGACCCCACAGATGGTCCCTCTTTTGTTTTCTTATGGCCTAAAATTAAAAAGCAGCCATCTGTGTAAAGGCAAAGAAGGTGAAGTCACTAATGTGGTCTGGTCAAACATGGCCCGAGGGATATAAAATCCATCCACAGAAGGTCTGACATTTTTTTTTGTTCATTTGCAGCAGAGAATAAGAGGAAACCTGCACAAAGAGTTTTCACGTATGGCGAAGTGAAGCCACGGTGTGCGGAGATGTGATGCCGTAACAGGGCTTTCATGTGGAACGGTGCTGTCTGCTATTACATAAACAGCTTTACAAAAGTGAGCAGTCCTCCACATTCTTTCTATAAAAAGACTCATCACTTCACCCCTATCATAATCTGGCTTTATTCTCTCCATTCCAGCAGTTCAGGCTCCGAGGAAAATGAGAATCAGAGGTAAAAGGGAGAACGCGTCAATGTTTCTGTTCCTTATTCCAGTATGGAAACAGGAAAAGAACCGGGTTCGAGTATGGGAACCAGCGCGCGAATACTGTGTAAATAATGTGTTTTACACGTGACATTTAAAGATTCTCTGCAGTATTAACCCGTACCAGAGTGTAATAAATATGATTACTGATTCATTTCAATACACTGAGCATCTAATATCAGGGGCTCAGGTCTTTCAATTCAGTGAAAGCTGCTATTTGATGCTCCAAATCGACACCGCTTCCCTCCTGAGATCCAGACTTCTACATTTTGTGTCTTTCTGATGCACATTTTTGTCTTTGTTTAGCTGATTTGCATCAGTTTGAGGTCTCTTTGAATCTTTCTTGTATTTTCAGTCATTCTCAGTCCTGCTTTGAATCCATCTGATCTTCTTTCCACTGCTCACTTCCAGGTTGACTACAACGAATAAGGAGCATGCCCCTTCTCTCAAACCCACCATGTGCATGCTGTTCTAAACAACATCCATAAACCCTCTCGTTTTTGTTTTGTTTTTTTTTTTACAATTACAATTACAGTGACAGGAGAATTAAACATAATTAAGTAAAAGGATGAAATACAAGCTGCACATACAAGGGCTCTGAATTCAAACTCAGGACCTCTGTAGTCTTGGGTTGACAGTGTATTACGCCTGTTTCAAGCCTAATTTTTGCACATCTCATTTTTGGTAATTTGCACTAATTCTTCCTCTTGCCATCATTTTGTGAGTCGCTTCAGTGCCACTGGATTTTTTTGTTGTTCCAAGTCTTTTAGTCCTGTTAGAATGTAAACCCATGATGAAAAGGTCACATGTATCAGAATTTTTAAATCACAAAAGGCTTTAGTCTGTAGGCACTGGGCGGAGCTATGGTGGCGATGTCCTTTCAGCATGTAGATGTCTCAGCCCTGGAGGTTTATCAACCATGCCAAACTCACAAAGACGTGAGTTCTGATAACTTCCAACGCTATGGCGGATAAATGGCATTCTCCAAGCCGCCACAGACACACCCGTTAACGAAGCTGCAAACGCTTCACCAAGCTTAGCATCACCAAGGTCTTTGGATGAGATTGAGAAACAAAATTGATCAAATTGAATCCCTAGTAGTTGGTTGGAACATAACATCCTAAAATAGCATAAGAAACAGGGCCAAAATTGAGTCTTAAATTCAAAATGGTGAACTTCCTGTTGGGTTTCGGCTACGGCTCCAAGAGCTTTACGAGCATAAGTGAGCTGTGGGGTACACAAATAAGCAACCGTGCTCTTTCTCAGTATCATAAAACATTTTATTTATTACACTCACAACAAAAAGAAAATATACACATAAAATTATAGACTGCAACTTCTGGAAATGTAAAACAAAAGCAGCTTTTGACAAAACAACATGTGTTTCGGTCATGTATGTGAAAGTGCGCAACAGTGGAACAGACGAAAAAGCAGAATTTACAAGATGAGCTGCAATGGACTTTTTCAATTATTAGTGTAAAGACTTGGTGCGCACAAGAAGTCCATCTTCTTTCAGTCCAGCTGTTAAAGCCATGTGCATTCAGGCACAGCCTCAAAAGAACATACTCCAACATATTTACAACACAAACTCCCGATTATGGGAAGAATAAGTGGCTTTTAAAATGAGTTACAGCTGAGGGGTGAAGGAGAAAGGTCTGACAGAGTGCTCGACATGTTTTCTCCCAGTGAAGTGCAGCAACAGCGTTTCACTCGTGTTCGCTCTGTTTGTTCAGAGAAGTGAGGTGAGAAATAACAAATCCATCAAGAAAAGCCAGCAGGGCAGCAGAGCACACGTTACATAATTACAGCGATTCTTATTAAGCTCTGCTGTCAACTCCTCAGAAAACTAAATGTGCCTCGACTTTAAAGGGTCAGTTCACCCAAAATTAGAAACACACTTTCATTCTATGCAGATTATTTTTGTTTAGTTTACTCCCCCACCCAAAAAAAAACAAAAACCAAAAACCTTCCATCCTGGGAAGTTTTCATTAGAAGGTCCCCACATATTTCCAATTAAATTATCAATGGTAAGAGGGTCTAGAAGGAAAGTCATTTTTCAGAGCTCCCCAAACTAATTAGCACTCACCTAGAGGTGCAGCAATTATTCAGTAAATCTAGATAAAGAGGAAATTAACGGGCAAACTTTCTGATTAGCCGATCGTTTTTTTCTGCGACAGTCATTTTTCACTCTTTGGAACCATTAAATAAGCCAAATGAAATCCTGAGAAAATGATCCGTAGGATTAATCGAGAGAGTACTAAGTAAATGCCCTGCGTGCCCCTCCATCGTGTCCATGTAAGAACAGCAATCTCACTAATAGATAACACTACGTAAGCTTTTTAATTTGGGTGTACTAGCCCTTTAAATTTTGCACTTTTGTGCCTGAGTACAGCCCACATACAGAAACTCTCCAGAGCAGATGTGCTGACACACCACATCAGGAACACAGAGGTGTTACTAATAATTTAAACAGAGCTACTGCCTCAGTTTCAGCTTTTCAATGCTCGCTTACTCACTGCAGACTTAAAACATGGAATAAAAATAAATAAATTTTAAAAAAAAGGCAGTTGTTTTAGTGGTGTTTGAATCTGTGGGAGTGGAGAGGAGCAGGTGTGGATAGAGTCCAGTAAAGCTAACAAAGATTTTTACAGAATCAAGAGAAGACCCAAACTCAGACTGCTCCTTTAAATTAATAATAACTGATGAGCTGCCAGGTGTGCTGTATGTGTGTCAGTCTCTGCGGGCAGAGGCCCGTTGCCCTGCAGTCACTGGTGTTTATGCAGATGTTGAACTGAAAACACCTGCCTGAGAGTCTGAGGGTCACCGCGGAGGCTGCGGTGTGCTATGAAGTTTCAGCCCACAGACTGCAGCGGCAGCTTCATAAACCACGTTACTCAGTTGATCGCTTAGCCTTTTCAAATGTCAAATAAAGTCTGACGCGGCTGTTATTAAGAGCGAAGACATTTACATGACTTACAAGGAAAGCTAATGGTTCACCTCGAGAAAAAGAACAAAAAAAAAAAAACTGTGTGTCTGAAACGAAGCGTTTGAGCGGTGGATAAAGAGAGCCGAGTGGGTGAAGGAAGAGGAGAAGGTGCTGGGCCTGAAGGGCAGGAAGACTGAACTCAGCATGAACAGCACAGCAGTAGAAACACTAAACTCTTATTGACAGGCTACATATTATTTACATATATATGCTGTAGACAGGCCAGACTTAGAAAAGCATTTATACACAAGGAATTAAATAAAGTGACTAAAAAGCACTGCAGTCCTGCTTCTATGCACCTAACACTGTTAGAAATTCAGTCATTAAACAAACAGCAGTGTCGCCATTAGTACGTGGCTATTAAATAATGAGACTAACTGACTTACGTAAACCCAGTGCTGCTATATAACAGCCACACTGACGAGCAAAAAGCAGCACCGAGGGGTCAAACCCCCGAATGAAGACAAACCCAGAACAGAGAAAAACAACTTTAAACGCAAACGGTGATGTTGTTTGTCTTGAAGGGAGCAGCTCTGTTGTTTCTGCACAACATGAAGTGACGCTCTTAACAGTTATTTCATTAACTTCTGCCATGGTCCTATAATAAAGACATTCAGGAAACTCTAAGAAAAAAAAACAAGTGTTTGTTTTCAGTTCATGCATAACAAATAGTTTCTACTCTACAGCTGTGTGTAACTAGCATGTGTGTCCTCTCCAGCCATTATTGCATCGTTATTATGGCGTGAAGCTGGCGCCCTTCTGCGCTCACCTGTCAGCAGGTAGACTCATGTCATCAGACAGGAGCTGCTCTCCTGGAAGAAGTAAGGAGGAAAAACACGCCAATCTGTGTGTTACTCATAACACTATTACAACACAAAATCAGCATCTGAACAGGAGACAAAAAGTACCAGGAAATTCCCAAACATCTGACTATTAAATTATTTTAGCTATCAGTAATCCACAAATATACAGATGAGGGAAAAAAACAAAACAAAAACTGCCAGGGTCGAAATCATTAGTCTCTCTGATGATGTGCATCCTTTTTGCTGGATAACAGTCTGCTGTCTCACACACCACCCCTGTGGGATCCCACTCACCTCATCCAGTTGCTCTCATGTTTTAAAAAAAGTAATAAAAAGAAGTGGTACTAATACTCATCAAATATAGTCGCCCCCCAAAATCTGCGGGGATTACGTTCCAAGAGCACCAGCAAACTGTGAAAACTGTGGATTTTGGATGTGGTCAAAGAAAATGCCTATAAATGCCTTTAAAATAGTTTAAACCCTAAATATGCATTTGGGCAGCATCATAGAGCTTTAAGAAGAACAAAATGAAAAACACAAGAAAACTGAGCAAAACACTCGAGATGGCTACACGTGGTAAACTGATGATGCAGGAATGCTGGACTCCATCTGCCAGAGACGCAGTAAGGAGAAATGAATAACACCCCTGGACTGGCTACCTTTAAACCTCCTGCTTCTGAATACAGGGGTGGTACACCATCCCAATCTGCCTTCTCCTTAAAAAAAAAAGAAAAAAGAATAAATAAATAAAAAATAGTAAAGGATGTGCAAGGCTGTACATGAACGATTATTATTTAGAGTCTAAGGAAAAGTCTGCGAACGACTGAAGCTGCGAACTCTGTACATGACTGTACATGTATACTATACACACACATACCAAAAAAGCGCTAGAGCAGAAAGAGAGGGAGGAGTGTGTAGAGATGATAACCACCAAAGAAAAAAGGGAAACATTAACAGATTCTGCAGAATCTGAACAATGATTTTAGTATCTACATCATGCACCTTGGCTCTGCCTCATTTCATGATGTGTGTGCTGGTTACCTGTGCAGGGTGGAGTGTGGTTGTCGTAGCGAGAGTTGTTGCTCTGCAGGGCCTCGTCCTCAGTGTCGCTGTCGCTGCTTGTAGCCGTCACCAGGACAGATGCCGGCTGATCTGCAGACGAGACGAGAAAGAATGAGACTGTTACACGTGTGCAGAACTCTTTAAGTTCCAACTTCTCAGGCACGCTCATAATTCAGTGTTACAGAATTCTTATTGCGGGAGTATAGGGTGTCTGGCCCATTGCTACGGGCCATTCGATCCCTATACAACTGCTGCAAGAGCTTGGTTCGCATTGCTGGCAATAAGTCGGACTCGTTCCCAGTGGGTGATGGGCTCCGCCAGGGCTGCCCTTTGTCACAGATTCTGTTCATCATTTTTATGGACAGGATTTCTAGGCGCAGCCAAGTAGCGAAGGGCTTTCACTTCGGTGGCCTCAGAATCTCATCTCTGCTTTTCGCGGATGATGTGGTTCTGTTGGCTTCATCGGGTGAGGGCCTCCAGCTCGCACTAGAACAGTTCGCAGCAGAGTGTGAAGCAGCGGGAATGAGGATCAGCACCTCCAAATCGGAGGCCATGGTTCTCAGCCGGAAAAGGGTGGAGTGCCCACTCCGGGTCGGGGATGAGTTCCTGCCCAAAGTGGAGGAGTTCAAGTATCTCGGGGTCTTGTTCGCGAGTGATGGGAGAAGGGAGCCGGAGATCGACAGACGGATTGGGGCTGCAGCTGCAGTGATGCGGATGCCGCACCGGTCCGTCGTGGTGAAGAGGGAGCTGAGTGTAAAAGCGAAGCTCTCAATTTACCCGTCGATCTACGTCCCTACCCTCACCTATGGCCACGAGCTGTGGGTAGTGACCAAAAGAACGAGATCACGGATACAAGCGGCAGAAATGAGCTTCCTCCAAAGGGTGGCTGGCCTCTCCCTTAGAAATAGGGTGAGAGGTTCGGCCATCCGGGAGGGGCTCAGAGTAGAGCCGCTGCTCCTCCACATCGAAAGGAGCCACGTGGGGTGGTTCGGGCATCTGACAAGGATCCCTCCTGGGCGCCTCATGGGGTTGGTGTTCCGGGCATGTCCCACCAGGAGGAGGCTCCGGGGCAGACCCAGGACACGCTGGAGAGATTATATCTCTCGGCTGGCCTGGGAATGCCTTGGTGTTCCCCCAGATAAGCTGAAGGAGGTGACTGGAGAGAGGGAGGTCTGGGCTTCTCTGCTTAGGCTGCTGCCCCCGCGACCCGGCCTCGGATAAAGCGGATGAAGATGGATGGATGGAGAATTCTTATTGAATTGATGGATTTCACAGACCATCAGTCAGAATAGGGGAATGATTCCTTTTTTAAAGTATGCTGAGTGCCAGATGTTCTTTTTTAATTAAAGAAAGTATCATCAAGCTTCAATTTTGCAAACTTGTACCAAGACTAAATTAGACTGACTGACGGGGACACGGCCTTGTAGCATGACGCACAAAACCCTGCCTGGTATACAGAGAGCCAATCCAAATCATCAAACACAATCACTCCTGAGGCTCACAGTTAGAAGGTGAACCAACCTTCACATGACAGCAGCTGTGCAGACGGCACCTCCGGCAAGGACTGATGGGAGTTTCCTGAGCTCTCAGATTCACAGTCCAACGCAGCTGCCCTGCAGCGGGAAGAAATGAAAGACATATGGGACCCTGGCGTTCCATTACACGGCTGTCTCTTGCAGATATAATTTTTCTTGTGCGTGAGGAGTCTCTGGGTCGTACCCCAGGCTCCTGCTGCCACAGTTCTTGCTTGAAGCCATGTAGCTCGATGCTGCCAAGGTGAAGATGTCTTCCCTGGACCCCGAGGCCCCGTATAGCTGTTGCTCCATCGTATATTGCTGCTTAGAGGTGGAGGGCTGCTCTGATGCAGTGCTGAGAGACACCAGGGGTCCCTGGAGGCTGTCAGCCTTCAGCACTCCTGGAATGAAGACAAAAGCCAAGTCACGTGATGGAAAAGTGGGAATGTGCTAAGAAAAGATAAAACAGGGAGCTGAGTGGGTGTGACCATAAAGTAATATTGTGTATTATTTTTCTAAAAAAAAAAGCCCTGCTGGCGAATCCCAGAACCCATCAGTCATTAAACTGCAAATCAAATCTGGAAGCACTGAAGACACTGTCATAATAAGTTTCCTTAGAGCCTGAATAAAAGAAGCACTAGCGTAAGCATCGTCTTGAGGAGTGTGCAGAAATCTCTAAGTTCGACCTTTTTTGGCATGGCTTGCTCGTGATTCATTAAAATCAGAAGAGTTTATCTTCTTTGGAGCATGAAAAGTGTTTCTTGGGAATCAACGTCAAAGATCGTGGGACGTTCAGTTTGAAAATTCCACTATGAATAAGTTATAAATGCCTCTGCAATGAAGCAGGATTTTGTCTCATCCAGGTTCATCCTGGGTTTTCTGTACCACGGAGGAGGTTCACACTTCTTATCAGGGTATATCAGCTTGGTAACTTAAACTGCGAGCATAATTAGAGATCAACAGATATGAAATCACCGCCTGCTGATTAATTCCTTGGAAAACAGCATCACCATTCCTGGAAAAACCCTCGGACCACTGTGTGCAGACAGTAATATCTAATTTCTTTCCATTTCCCTGATGATCAGCAAGAAATACAAATTCTCGGAGACAATTTTATTGTTTCATTATTTTTCTGTTGCCTGTGAATAATTTTTATTGTTCTACAAGCAGAGCACTTCTTTGTATTTGTTGACCTTACATCCAGTGTGCATGCAAAACCAACTTAAAAATTTATTTAATAAAATAATTAATCTTCGGTATCTTTACACATATTTACACAGTTGGCGCACTTTCTTTCCAAGCTTCAAATAAGTTCAATTTCATTAACATAGTAGCTCTTTTATTCAGAGCTGTATGTATTAAATTAATGTAGAGTGATTGGTTATCTCACATCGCTGACTCATCTGGAGCAGCTGTGTTACTTTTATTCTGTATTATGGCTTTACTTGCTGATACACTTAACAGTGTGATTGTTCAGATGCTGGCAACGCCAACCATTTTTACGTAAACGTTCATACGCAGATCAGGAAACCCTGGGATAACTAAAAAAGTTCATAACCAGCTTTGTGTAACCACTCATCGTGATCGCCAGTGTTGGGGTAAGTGAATCCCTTCATACTGCAGGTTTAGGAGAGTGTATAATGTCTTTGGATATCTATTTATTTTGATCAGATGGTGGTGCTACAGAATGTTCAGTGGATAATAAAAACCACTGTGATTTGCTGCCTTAACTTTATACCTCGTGAAAACCCTACTAGCAGTAACCCTTGTTTCCCTTTTCTGAACCAAACAGTGTCTGCTTATAGAACAAAATGACTGGGTTTACTGCAGGTGGTCTCCGCCTATACAGTTACCCCTGAAAAAAAACCCCAAACTATTCTAATGGTCATTAAACTAGGTCGTGTCAAAACTAATCATTATGGGTACAGGGGAGGTCATCACATATTGTCTGTATTGGGAAGAGAGTTACGATGATTTTTTTTCCCCAAATGAAAAACCTCATTTAAAACCCTTTCAGGGGTTTTTTTTGTTACCATGATATTCAGAGTGTCTTAAAGGTGAACTAACTGCAGGCCACACCATAATACTGATATGAAAAGTTTTAAAAGCTCAACCTCTTAAACCACAATATATAATTTATGATGATTACATGACTCATAAAGGGGAGATCATGAACTGCACGTCTGAAGGCTAATCTAATAAAGTCACCTATAAAAGTCAGGAATCAGATTTTTTTTTTTTAATTCTTATAAAAGAAAAGTGTTACTGTTTTTGTGTCGATGTTAAAACATAAAAGCAACTAAAGAATCACAAACTATTTTAAGTCTTAATGAAGCAGTACAGGGGAGAGTAAATATAAAAATCAACTGCAGAAACTTCAGGATCCATCAGGTGGATACTTGACTGAGTAAAGTGCACTCAAGCAGTCAAGCTCTGCACCCTAAATTTTCAGCACAATCACTGTTGATTCTCTAAAACAAAATCAAAAAAAATAAATAAATCAACCCTTCTCTATCCATATTTTGTCTAAACAGTTGTAAATGTTCACCTGAAGTAACAAACAAATGATCACCTGACTCTGCCGTTTGTCTTTATTGCACTTTAAAGATCAGTGTTTCGGTTTTACAACATCTACTGTTCACGTCATTCTCACAGATTTGAATTCGGTTTTTTAGGACAATGTTACACCTTGGCTGTGATTTTATGCAGGTTTAAAGGAGAATAAAAAACAAACAAACAACAACAACAACAACAACAACAACAACAAGAATACACTTACCCTCTGCTCCTCCCATCCCATCTTTAGGATGCAGGCTGAGCTCCAGAGCAGCTTCTGCTCCCCTCAGGTCTTTTTCCATCTCCTCTGGACTCCTCCTCTTCACAACCAGAGAGCTGCTGTCCAGGACAGGAGACAGAGACTTCCTGGCTGCACACAGAACACAGACACACAAATGTAATAATAATAATAATAATAATAATAATGATAAAAACCATATTGATTGTGCCAGCAGAAGTCCCGTGAGCCTTGTTATCTGGAGTTTAATCTAAAGATAGTGAGGCAGGCCTTCCTGGCCTAGTGTAATAGGGGAATATGGAAAGTAAACTAATCCATCTCTTCCTAAGACTGTGCCAAAACAAAAACAGCATAATCTGTCCTGACAGAATAGAATCTCAAAAAGTCCAAAATTTCTCTGGGCACATTTTTCCAATGAAAAATTAGCCTGAATATCATCCACTGATGTTTCCCAGAGCTAGCAGGCAATATTACAAGTTTTATGCAATGATTAGGGTTTAAAAGAGTTTATTTCCCTTATAAGCTATAAATAAAGCTACAAATGATGTAAGGTTAGTTGGATCCAAAGAAGCAGCAAATATTGACTTTCAATGTTGTAATTAAATGGTAAATGGCCTGTATTTGTATAGGGCTTTACTTAGTCCCTAAGGACCCCAAAGCGCTTTACACTACATTCAGTCATCCACCCAGTCACACACACATTCACACACTGGTGATGGCAAGCTACATTGTAGCCACAGCTGCCCTGGGGCGCACTGACAGAGGCGAGGCTGCCAGATACTAGCGCCACCGGGCCGTCTGACCAATTCCCAAAAGACACAGAAAAAAAAGAAACTGAGGCTATGCCAACCTGTCAACTTGCTTCAGTCTCAGCAAGAGCATGTTAACCTGTTAGGTTTTAGCTTAGTGGATTCTGAGAGTATACGTATATCTGAGAATATAATGTAAACATCCTGTTCAAAAACAGTAAAATTTAGACCATGTAACATGTAACATATTGGAATCATATAAACACTTGGCAATAAATGAGTAATAAAAAATACTGGTGGCTCCCAGTGCTGTCCCTTAGCCTTGTAGTAGATACACTTGTGGTAAAATCCTATGTCGCCTTGTTCTAATGTCATTGCATTTAGAATATTTTCAGAAAACTTGACCTCTGACCTTGAGGTTAAAGTCGCCAGGCTTTGAAGTTGTCTGAGATTTTTAGTAGCTGTACCTGTGGTATCAATATTTGAAAATATTAGGCGACTTCCTTCTTGAGTTATCACGTTCACAAACTCGGGTGTCCACACCGCCCACCCAGCCCACAGCAATAGCTCATCAGCCTTTTGCAGCTGATGGGTAAAAACGATATGTGTCAATTTAATATTTTGCAGTATTTTATGTTTCTGACCAAGTCCGCTTAAAAATGCTGGCCATCTGTAGTGCATTAATCTGCACTCTGCAGGCGAGTGCGATTTTTGCGACACTCGAGTATAACTTGGAAAATATTAGCTTATAACCAACTGCTGTTGTTGTTTAGCCAATTCATACTACTTCGCATGTGGCCGCTTTCTAAAAAGATACATAAAACCTGATTAGGTAGAACGGCAATGTCCAACTTGTCACTGTTTTCAAGATTGCAGGGCAACATGGTGGATTTTTACAGTGATGAACAGCTATACCTATTCAATAGATTTACTGTTCAAAAGCTAAAGAAAAAAAATATCTGTAGGTCATCATGTACATTTTCTGTGATCTCCCAGCACAGATACGATGCTCTCTCTCTGTTATGTTCATTTGCTTTTGCAAAGCACCCCCCCAAAAAATTTTTTTAAACAAAAGTATTCGGGACAGCCCTACATATGAGTACCCTTGACAACTGACAGTGTGGCAACCCACACAGATTGTCTTCTCTATTCCGGTTTGCACATTTGCTGTGTACTTTGTCCACCAGAATAACATGCCATGCAAAAAGAAGCAGCATAGTTTTCACACAGCTCTTCATTTCTACAATGTTTTTTTCTTTTCAAAAAGAATTCAATAAATTCATTTCCTCAGGCAGAGATTGAGATAATCAAACGGACCAACTGTAGCGTGGGTAACCAGATAACTCAGATTCCCTGTTTGGTTGAAACTGTCACTGTTTACACATTAACACTGAACAGCTTGCAACAGCAGTCCTCACCGGGGCGGCAGGGTCTGGCTCGAGTCGCAGCTGCTCTCCCCACCAGGTCAAGCTCGCTGGGTTTATGACAAGCTGCCATCTCTGAATCGCCGTGATGAGACGGGAGCTCTTCAGCACCGAAGGCCCCAGATGGGCCAGGCCTGGGCTCCGCTGACCCCCGCACCTCCAGCACTTGACTCTTGACATCGGCCATCTTGCTGCGGACCTCAGCCATCTGAGCCTTGAGGCGGATGAGGACCCCCGAGTCCGGAGCTGATCGTCGCACCACCTGCGGACGCCGCTCTCGTTCCTTCCTCGAGTGAGGATGAGCTGAAGACACAAGAAACAAGTTAGAGAAGCAGATAAGGTGAAGCTCCAAATATACAGCTTAAAACTATGTTTGGGGCTATGGTCGCAAGCTGCATGGTGGTTCGGGGACCAATCAGAAGCTTCCCTGTTGGTACTGAGAAAAAGTTAAACATCAAATGTACCTAAAGTCTTTTCACAAACTGCATGGCAGTTATGCTAAGTTCGGTTTAAATTCTCCAGATACTCAGGAAAACACTTCAATACTTCCTTTATTACCTCCTTTAGCAGAGGATAGCGTCCTATAACTCACAACAAGTGGTGCAGATCACATAAATGTTAATTAACAGTCTGTTTCCTATTTCACGTAATAAACTGCTGAACTAAAGGTCTCAATGTGGCAAACATCTTATTTTATTTTATATTGTTTTTTTAATGACCTGTAAAAGTACGTAAGATGAGATTTTTGTAGTCCTGCAGATCACTGTCGTTTCAGACTTAATAACATCAGCTGTTACAAGGTGAGAGGGTAGTTTGTTGCCCTAAAAACTTTTTCTCTTTCCACCTTTCTTCAACGCTTTTAATCGAACAGGTCAAGAGAAAGTGGTTACAAAAGGATGCTGGTGGTAATGGTTTTGACCAATTTTTAAAGAAAAAAAAAAAAATCCACAACAAATTAGCTCCAATGTTTCTCCTAGCAGAGGTGCTGGGACAATATTAGTCCCAAGAAAACTGATTTTGGTCTTTTTCTTTGTTCTTTTCACAAAATTCTTGGCGTTCGCTGCACCCTTCTTTCTGATTCCTGTAAGTTTAATTTTCCCCCCCTGAAAATGAAAAGTTTGGTCTAATGTATTTCTTCTCCATAGAAAGCAGCAAAACCGATTCATATCGAAAGCAAGTTCAAATCCATCAAAAGAGAAAAAGGATGAGACTGATAAGAATCAGCATGAGGCTCTCTGGTAATCTTGTGCAAACACAGCGTTTATCCCCAAAGCCTACAGAACATCCTACATGTGTTTTCTATACTTAAATATGTTGAAACCAGTGCTGTTTACATGCTAACCTGTGACCTTACAAAGTGTTTTTTATTTTGAGGAACTCCTGTGTCAGAGTTTGAGTAATGACTCCCAGTTTAGTGGGACTGATATTTTGTTAGCGTGCCTACAGACCTTGGCTGTGGAGGAGAGACACCGGAGGCCGAGGCTGAAGACCCCACAGGGATTCCACGCTGCTGCGCTCCTTCAGATCCAGCAGCTGGATCAGGATGACCGGGTCGATCTCCAGGAGGCTGTTACCACCTGGCCCAACAGCACCGGTGGCGGCAGCAGCAGCAGCGGAAGCTCCACTGCCACTAGTACTACGACCGGCAGCAGCTGCAGCACTACGGTGTAATGATCGCACACTGGAGTTGGAACCGCCTGCAGATCAGACACAAAAACAGGGTTTATATGGTTCATGTGTGGCTGTGCTTAAATTAAAAGAGGAATAAGGGGTTATTTAAGTGATTATTGCTCCATTTCTCCTTCCAAATATTCATGTTTATGTGTTATTTGAGCTGTTTCTTTATGTTGGAGATCTGGTGCTCTTCATTGTTACTATAGGTAACTAAAACTAAACTAAAAGGCATTGTGAAAAACCTTTCAGTTAACTGAAATAAAAACATATTTAAAAGTAAACGTCTATAGGATATATTGTGTCCTTAAGTTTTTAATATGGTTAAATTTGCCAACAAAAAGCCTGAGGAGGTTTTAGCTGTCTGAACTTCTTAAATTTTTTAAAATACTTTTTTTCCCCCTTTTTTCTTTTTTTTAAATCTTTAGACCTACTGAATCTGGGATTCAAGTTTAAGTGAAGCTCAACAGAAACACTGATCTGGTTTCAAGCAGCAGTGAGACATGTTATTATCTGTACAGCCCACATGAGTTTCTGACTGGCCAGTTTCCAGATGCTGGGAGAGAAAATTCTCTAAAGGTTTTCCAGACAAAGAAACCTGCATCAAAAACAGAGTTACAAAACAGGCTGGAGTCTCTCGCTGAATTGTAACCTAATCATAAAAAAATAAAAATTACTCCAATGTGGGATGTAAACAATATGCAGCAAAGATATGTTCAACTCTGACATCTAACACCCCCTCCCCACACATGTACACACACGGACACCAAGTGCTTCTATATCGGCAGGCTGCGAGGGGCATGGTGCACCAACACTGACTCATCCTCTTCATGCCTTTCAACACCAACACAGTCAAACACGCCTGAAGGAGCCGCTTTGAGGTCCACCATCATATTGCTGTGATCTGCCTCTACAGTTGTCAAACAACACAAATAGATTCCTAAAATTCTCAAACAGAGGCTGACTTTTATTTGCCTCAACTGAGGAGACAACAGGGCCTTTATTTGAGAAAGGACAATAAATATTTGATGGTTACACTCCGTAAATGGAGGGAATTGTTCAGTAAACCCACTGGGCTTTTGTAGCAACTTTTAGATGAACATTTTTGTCATGAAAATAATCAGATTTAACGGTTTAACTGCCCTACTGAGTTACAATGAGAACAAACACCATATTTTATTTAAATAACTGAAACATATTCATTTATACTATTAACCACAAGTTACAGCCCTCTAAGAAGAACTCAAGCATTTAGAAATCTTTTTTTTTCCTTTTTTAAAATCATGCTTTCATGTAATATGAATTAAGACTGGCTAAATTGCACTTGTATTTTGATTTAAGAGCTTCCATTTGATATTTCTAAGTAAGAAATAGAAGTTTATAATCAACTTTAATGTGTGAAAATGTCCTTATTTAGAACATCTGCTGTAAATGTACAACATTACACCTTGAGTAATGTGCATATTTAATATTACTTTAAATTGTGTTCTGCTTTATAGTCATTCATTATTGATTTCTCCTCCTGCTGATTTATACTTAAGAACAAATTAATGAAAGCTTATTTCAGGACACAATTTGCAGGGGTAAAAAAATAAACAGTTCTTTGTTGTTCAGCAGCATAAATCATGTGTTCACAAATCATGGTTCTAAGTTTGTTTCTGTTTGCATAGGTTAAATAATCCTTCAAGAACATAACGATAAAACTGACATCTGACATTTTTAACACTGCTGTGTGTTAAAAAAACAAAACAAAAACATGTCAGCTGTGGGAAACTCAAATCAAACAGTTTTATGAATGTTTTAAATTATACCCGTGGCTCCAGCCAAGTCATCAGGAAGCTCTCCTTCTTCTGTGTCCAGGTTGCCGATGAAGTCGACATCATTCTCCCCGGACCTGTGAAAATATTTCTGTTAGTATCCATTTCTTCGGCTTACCAAAGAAACCAAAGCCTTCATTATCAAATTACCACCAAGCACATTTTTTGTAGAAAGTTTCACAATAAAGCCATTTGTGCTCACATTGTCTCCTCGTCTATGTCATTCTCCTCAGTGTTGCTGGTGGCTGTGGAGCTCCCTGAAGTGCTGCTGCCATCCAGAGGGTTCACCTCCTCTTCTGTCAGACAGTCCACCTCCAGGTCACCGTCTGACAGCTCCTGGACAACAGAGGAGCCAGGCAATTAATGAGCTGTATCTCGTACAGGAAGACGCTGGATCCCAAAACCTCCAGCTCTTATTCATTTGATTTTTAATTAAAATTCAATGAAATGCCCCATAAAAAGAAAATTTTAACACCAATAAATTAATAGCTTAATAAATAAAATACCTAAATAATACTAGATAATTAGTAGTTTTTGACATAGTCATAACACCTCCAGTGAAAACATGATGCCCATCACCTAAGAAAACCTGTATAAGCTCAGCTATGCACAGACACCCTCTCGAATAAGAAAACATTAAGAAGCAATCAGCTGTTTTTTCAAAGTCAAGCAGTATTTTCCATCCTCACATTAGAGTCATCGTGTTGCGTCCTCTCTTCTTCTTCTCCTTTCTTATTATTGCTCAAAGTGGTCTGAATCTCATCGTCACTCTTCACCGAGCGAGGGTCTCTTTCAGAGGTCGTGGTGCCCGCAGCAAGCCTCAGGTCAGGAGGCGAGGAGCTGCGTGAGGTCTGACGGCGAAATAGCTCGATAGCGAGCCTCTGGAATCAGAAATACAGAGATTCGGGGAATATTATTTAGCTCAAAATAAACAGACACTTAATTATGGAAGCAACTCCAACTAGATGAGTCAGAGTGACTCAGAGACTTTGGCATCTTTGAAAACTTTGGAATCTGTTTACTCTAAAACAATGGCTGACGAGAGTCAGTGAATCCTAAATTCAACAAACAGTAAAAAAACAAAACATGCCTATAAATACAGAACACAAACACGGACAGACAGAGTACCTCTTTGAGATTGTTGATCTGCTGGATGTAGCCACTCTGGGCCGACTCCAGCTGGCTGATGTACCAGTACTGATCTCGGCACTTCTGGAAAAAGGTAGGTGAGCGAACCTGATAGCTGAGCAAAGAAAACCAATGATACTCAGTCACACTGGGATAAAAGATCTCCAACTCAACCTGATTCTACATGATTAGAATTGGGCATGCGTGTTCTCACCGGAGGACCAGTGTGTCTGTCTGCATGTTCAGGTATCCCTCACTGGCTAGAAGATCAAGCCTGAAGAAGCGGTTGTAGCCCCAGCATTCACCGACCTCAAAGTCAGAGGCAAACTCCCGAATTATGTTCTTTGTGGGGTCACTGGAGGCCTGATGGACCATCTCCACACGGTACTCATATCTACGCATATCAAAGAGCATATCAACACACAGGAAATGCAGCAAAAGCAGAACTCATCCGGGACTTTTGAGGATGTATTTCTTTAAAGAACTAAAAGACAGTGAACGGATATTTAACACACCAAACTAGAAGTGATTAGTTTTTCAAGCCACAAGTATTATTGAGTCCAAGTAGGATCACCTGATTTTGGTATTAATCGGCTAAAAATGACAAAATTTGATGCAGTTTTCTCGTTAAATATTCAATCAGGGGTTCCCCTGTTGCTCCCCTGGTTGAAGCGGTAACACGTCTTTAAAACATGAAAGAAAAAGTATTATCTCCTCACTGATGCCAAACTCATTTTTCAAATATCCTATATCATGTAATGTAGTGGTTTTTGTTATACTGTGCATCTATTAGGACCAGATTTTCATTTCATTTTAAAACAATCTTGACGGTTTTATGAAAAACACTGGCTGCATTATAACTGAACATTTTTAATCTATGTGTCTTCCTGCATGTTAACTGTAAATTATTCAAATTGGACTTGAAAATAAATCTTTTACGCAAGTCAATTTAGCCCCAGGCTTGACTGTAAAAAAAATAAATAAAAAATTGTCACAGAAAGAAAACAGAGCAGAGGAGGAATTTATTGAAAGAGCAGTCAATGTACAACAAAATATTACATACTTTGATGTTTCGGGAAGTCCTGCAGACAGTTCGAGGAACACAGACAGATAGTTTCCACGAACCACACCGTTACCGTCCTGCAGAAACACAGAGACATGTGCTGCTTTAGCAAAGACAACGTGATTTCTGTCTAAATTACTACAGTCACAATAACCAATCGATGTCAGCTAGAACTGCAGCCAGGTTTTAAAAGGCATACATCAACTCACTGGGTAGACTTTGAGTCTCCAGCAGAGGCCAGAGATCTGCAGGGGAGGGCTGTAGACCGGGTCAGCCCGCTGCCTCAGGGTGCTACAAACAAACATATATCAAACGAGCTGAAACCCTATCAGGATGTTTTGATAGATTTCCCATTTGAAGCTTTTAACTGGTTATTTTTACTCTGACTCATTTTATTTTGCATTTATATTTGAGTTTAACTTGTAACATTGTAATAGTGTGTAAAGAGATTTTAATCTCAAGGAACTTAGTTAAATAAAGGCTAAATAAATTTTTAAAAAGTACCTTACATTTTTCCATAGTTTATAAAATCCTCAACAAAATTTAAGGATGGTGTTTGAAGATAGGAAGAAGCTGACAGTATGTCAGAGTGAGAGTTCCTTGTTTGTCTTCTCTATGACCAAATGCAGCCTCAGAGATGATTTACCTGAAGTTGACTAGAACAAAAGTGCTGGAGTCATAGGCAGGAACCAGCTCACTGAAAGCACAAAGAGGAAAGATGACTGCACATAAAAGCACAATAATTAACCTGTAGTTTACAGTCACTGTCAGGTTATTTCCTGTAGTATTATGAGCCATAAAATTTAATCGATTGATTAAAAAAAACAAAAAAAAAACAAATGGGAATCTCCTGCCACATAACATTTATTATTGATGATAATTTTTGTTATCCCTAGTAGCTAAGGCATTTCGTTGCATCCTCCCTGGACCGTGAAAAGCGTCTGGTGTTGCAGCTGAGGATATTACCTAGTGAAGTCTGGAGGGACGGGCGTGGTGACGAAAGACTGCATGGGTTTCCGGTGGACCTGCTGGAACATGAGGAGGATCTCTGGGCTCTTTGAGATCAGTTCGCTCTTACTGCAGGAGTGAAGCTGTTCAGCATACACACAATTCAGGAAAATCATCTCGTTACTGCCAGCAAGCAGCTGAACAATCGATGATGTGTTGATTTTTGCTCAGAAAAAATAAACAGTTAACTGAAATTCAACTAAATGTTTTACTTAATTCAGTAACAAAAGAAGCAAAGTCAGAATATAAAAGTTCATTTCTTAAAACAAAAAACAGTCTCCCACCTGACCCCCTCAAAATCTGATTCTTTTGTAAAAAAAATAAATTGTAATTGTAATTCAGTAAAATGTTACATTTATGCTATGAATATCTATGAAAAATAGTAAAGTGCAACTTTTTTGGAGTCATTTTACAAAATAACTTCAAGATGGTAAATGAGATGACCCATCCCTCAACGCTGCCAGTATTTCTGTATTTAATGTGCTGTAATATTTTCTGGCTGCTACTCTTAGTGCAGAAAAGCTCATGATTCATCACATCACATTGTAAGAAACAATCGTGCAAATGCAACATGCCTGCTCGCCCGATTTGTCGTGCAACATGCTCTGCTACTCAATAATGAATAAAAGAAGTTCCCACAGTGTAAAATAAAGCACTTACAGTGAATTCTCACCAGCTCTGCAGCCATTACATCATACTTTTGGTTTTATAACTTGCAGATGTATTGTTTGGATAGACCTCAAATTAGTCGTTTCCTTTTTAAAAACAGTTAACAGCACAGTTGAAACTTTTAAAATATTGCACCAGACACTTGCTATAAGAGAGGATTTAAAATATACCTTGACCTTAAAGACTGGAATAGTGTTGAATCAATGAGACAGCATGTATTGCTGTATTGTGTGTGGGGTTTCTCAGCTTTAATATTACACAACTAACAATATGCAGTAGGAAAAAAATGAATGGAGGCTTTGATCTGCTGCAGACGACCAACCTGATGCTCCACCTCCTGCAGCAAAGACTCCAGCAGCTCCGTCTCCTGGGTCAAGGACGTCTTCTGGCCTGATGGGGAGGAACGCAGTTCTATTTTCAGTACTCTTGTGCTGAATGTCAGCCCTGATGGAAGCTGCTGAGTGAGAGTGTGTGGGAGTGCAGGTTGTGTATGTGGGCGCCAAGTGCACGGATCCACTCAGTCCAGATAAATATTTCATATGTATATTACCCGCAGCTATAAAGGGCGCCTCTCACTGCTTTCAGTGGGGAGTCTGCGTGTTTTGTTGGGTGAAGGTCTCGACCTTTAGACACATTTAAAGCCAGTCTTGCAACAACAAGAAAACTAAACACTGCCATATATCTTTAACCTGTTAAAATGATGCTTACTCTATTGGGAATGCATAACCAGGTGGCGACAGAACTGGGATTAATTTATTTAACTGCTGAATATTAATTAATGACTACAGTTAGTAAGGGTGACCCTAACGTACCATTCTCTTCAGATAACTCTAAATATGTTTTTTCAGCAGTTTCATCTCTTATTTTTTGCAAAATCCTGCTGAATGCTCCTTAATTCATGTTTAATGATATTTTAATGGTAAAAAGATTTTATGTCACCCCGTCAGCAAAACATTCATTTTTTTAAAAATACTCCTGGCTCTGTATGATAGCCGAAATCTGGTCATCTCAGACATGCAGTTCTGTCTGTGAGTGCCCAAGCCCCACCCGCCTGCTTTTCAGCCAATCGGAAGACAATTGTTTGACCTTGTTCTAAACAGAGTTTGAACCATCTAATGGGCTGCAGGACATTTTTTTGAACAGTTAATCGTGCAAAGCTACTCTGGTGAAGTCAAAAAAATGCAGGTGAAAATGAGAATAATGTGTCCTCTCCTGCAGCCTAAAAGCCAGTCATTCAATTCAGCTTACCAGAGTTCTTTCAGTATTTTTACATAAAAGTAGGCAAGGTGTTCAGACATGGAAATAATGAGCTTGAAAGTGGTCAAAAATGTTTTTAAAATAAGATTTGAGGTCAGCTCTTTTTCAGATAAAAGCAATGCACTGAAATGATGTGTAATTAATTAAATTGAAGGTTAAAATGTATATAAAAAGCTAAAAAAAGAAAAAAAAAAAACATTTATCTGGACATCTGCTTTTGACAGTGAGTGTGTGCACAGTGTGAGTCCTACCCATGAGGGTGATGAGCTTATTCTTGAGCTGGTTATCCAGACGAGCGATCATCATTTCCACGGCGTTACGTATCTCTCGGACCCTCTCGTCTTTTGCACCCCTAACTGCCTCAACGTTCCTCTCCTGAACCATCAAACAAAACACACAAACACACTGTGTTAAATATGCGTTCACTGTGTCAACTTCACTGACAAGCTTTTATTAAAACAACAGTGCCATCTGCTGGATGTCAGCAATACAGCACGCCCATACTGTAGGCTGCGGATTTGATATCATTTTGAAGTCTAATCCTGTGTGTTGATTAGGACTGTTGTTCAATTCAATTCAATTTTATCTATATAGCGCCAAATCCCAACAAAAGTTGCCTCAAGGCGCTTTATAATGTACAGTAGATACTTTATTGTTGTGGTCGCTATATCACAATGTCACATCTATCGTTGGATGTGAAGCATAGGAAATTGGGGGTAACAAAATAATTCAACTTATATGATTTATCAAGATGATATTTCATTTTCGAATGGAAGTATAATCACAATATACCTAGAGCTAAAATTTGACCACTATGATAATCTGGGATATGGAATTCAGATTAATGCAGTCCAAAGTTTTTGGTCTAACAGACAAACATGAAGGTATCCCGAGGCTATAGAAGCATCCTAAAAACTCTCAGGATACATCATTCAGTAGACACACAAACCAACAAAGTCAGGCACAATCACAGAAAGCATTTAGCCTTTTAAACAGGAGAGTGAGCTCATCCTCTCGCAGGACGTATTATATTCAAACAAAAAGCAAAAGCAGACTCCACAGACACTGAAACTGAACACAAGCTATGACGCAAACAGACTGAGTGTTTTTGCCTTGTAACTGACTTGCACTTATTTCAGCATTTATGGGCATTTTAATTTATTGTGTTATAGTTTTTTATTATCTATTCTTTGTTTCACCTTTCGTCTCACTCTGTCCATCATGTCAGGTGACACGATACGTGTGAAGAAGCAGTTAGAGAGTGGATGCTTTCATAAGAGAGATAGAGAGACAGGCAGTCTTCATACAACTCATCTATGTGTATCTTTCAGGAGTATCATGATAACAGTTCCCTGAGTTCACTGCTGTTTGCTTTAATGTCACTGCTCAAATTGAGAAGGCCAGAGTGACCCTCAGGTGCTCCTGAATCCCACCACCGAACTACAATAATGTAGCAGTGTAATCACACAAATAATGACCAAGAAACACTGCAAAGTGCTTTGTCGGGACATTTCATGCTGTACCCAGTTGACATTAATAACCTGAAACTTTAAAGTGGGCCTCAGAGGTCCTAAGTTAAAACAATTTCCACAGGCTCTTTGACTTAAGCTTTCCTCTACAAGTGGGTCATTAATTGGGCTCTATGGATTATGGAGCTGATTTTATTTCTTTGTGCAAAACAAAAATGCTAGTTATTTTTTATATTAATGTCAGAAAATAAAAACATTTATGCCTTTTCTGCATCAAAAAATGAATGTGTATAAATTCCTATGGCAGACAGTGTAACACATTGGCTTATCATAACAGTGGCATGTAAGATACAGCAATACATATAAAACCTATTCCTTCAGCAGAGAATCTAAACTCTACTTAAAGCAGCATAACTCATCGTGGTAATCTAGACCAGCGGTCCCCAACCTTTTTTGCGCCACAGACCATTTTATGCCCGACAATATTTTCACGAACCAGCCTTTAAGGTGTCGCGGATAAATACAACAAAATAAAACTAGTACCGGTACCGAAAAAAAGAAGATTTATTCATAACACACGTGAAATGACCCAGGAAGACCGAGTTAACGATAAAAACGATAACAAAATAACGCTGAAACCCGATAAAAACCCTGAAAACCACACATTCCACACCTGAGCCTCAACTCTCGCGGCCCAGCACCAAACGACTCACGGACCGGTACCGGTCCGAGGCCCGGGGGTTGGGGACCGCTGATCTAGACAGCTAAGAAAGGACACCTTTGTAATACTGAAAACTGAGTTTGCCTCAAGATAACTCGCCAACCCATTAATAATTCTTCATAGTTGAGGGATGTTCTCTCCCTCAAGTCCCATGAATGTCAAGAAGAATTCAAATATGTACTAGGATATGAATCTGCAGTTAAAAAGATTTACTGAAGAGGTGAAGGTGAAAAGTGATGAGTGCACGAAACAGAAGGAGTTTGATCTGACAGGACAGTAAATATCAAACTATTGAGCATTTGTTGTTCATAAGAGAAAAAGCAGTCCTCACCACTTCCTGCACCAGACTGATGAGCTCCATGAGGCGGCGGCGCAGCTTGGCAACCTCCTCCTTCACCTTGGTCACATGCTGCTCATAAATCTCCACCAGGGGCTTAAAGGTGTGGCCGCCGTGCTGGAAGCAACCAAAACAGCAAAATTCACCGGACGCCATCTGACTTTTATGTAGCGGAAAACTCATTAATGAGAGCGTTTCTGACTTTGCCAACTATTATGTAAGTGAAGCATTACCATGCCTCCCCAAAGGGCACACTGGTGACAGATGCATTTCTTACAGGTCCAACAGAAAACACTCAGCTTCTCGTGATGGTTCTCACATCTGCAGAGCAACAAGACAACCACTGTTTGTTTCCCACAACTGTACCAAATTTGATTGTTATTCTCTGAGTTGAGCATCACAGAGCATGTATAAGTAACCCCAACCAAAAAAAAAAAACCAAAACCAAAACCCTGACAAATATAAAACAATGGTGACACAGAATGAACAAAACTTCTTAAAATAACTTTTCATAGTTCTGGCATTAAGATTTGATTTATGAAGAGAAATTTAAGGAAGACAGGGAAATAAAAATGACAAGAACACTTTCAACTCAGAAAACAGGACTGGGACTGAAAGACACTTGTCAAGAACTCACTTGTCTTTATCGTTGTCCTCATGCTTGGTGAGGCTGCAAAGCTGCAGGGTGTCCAGCTGCTGGGTGACCTCCTCCGCCCAGCGACAGTTGACAAGCTCCCTCAGCTGAAGTGGAGCCCTGTACAAAAGAATGCACACACATATTTTAATAACTGCATAGCTATTCTAACATTATGAAGCAGATTAGAAAGTTATCTTGAGGCTTTTTGTCTGTTTCGCTACGTTTCATCAGTTTTATTGGTGTTCTCCTTGCCCATAGGATATACTAAAGACATAATATGCTTATGTCTTGCTGAATTAACTCACATCGAATTCATATGTATTCCACGCTGTTACATTGTGAGTTGTATAGCTCTTACACACTGTTTTTAGTCATTACTCTGGTCTTACCAGGTACCTTATGAGTTCAAACAAAATTCACATGGACCATGAATTATTCCACCAAATGTGATTAGTTATATGAAGTAGATGTGTGTTAGCAGGTGCTTACCGACAGTGTGGACACTGTGCTCTCTGCTCCGTCAGCCATCGCTGTTACACAGGAGAGATTTCAGCTTAAATACAAGCAGCACAAACAGTCTGCCAAAGATTCATGATTCAGGACATTTTATATTTTTTTCTTATTTGTACATTCCTTATAAAGACCAAGAAAAACTAAACTACACAAACTGATCCTACTGAGTGTGAGGATAAGCAAAGACTGACTCATGTGAATCATCGGCATCCCACTGCTGCACTGTTGACCAAATATTATTGAAAGGGAACAGTAACAACTGTGGTTACTGTTGGTGGTTATTAACTTGATAAGTCATCTCAGTATTTATCAATGTAGCTATAAAACATGAAAGAAGTAGCGGTGGCAGCACGTGACCGATCCCAAAACCAGTCACCATCAAATTTTACAAAGATAAAAATAACATGTATAAAAAACACGAAGATCTTACACACATAACGGTGGGCTGAAAGATACACAGGTGTGCTGGACAGTGTGTAGTTTATTATTTTTTAATAAGTGCTGTCTGAATGTTTGTGTGTTCTTTAAGGGTTTGGATAGTAAGACTGGAAAAGCTCTACATAAATCCCAACTGTGTGATTTAACAGACTTATCTGTCTCATCGCTTTATCATTAATGGCTCAATCACATTAGAGTAAAAATAGGACATCAACTTCATTTCAAGTTGGAAAAAAAAAAAAAAAAAAAAAAAAAAAAACCAGCCTAATGCCTGGTGACTTCCATTATTTTATTTATTTATTCCCCACATTCAGTGATTGATTTCAAGTAGTTGCATGAAAACAGTTGGTTGCCCAGAGGCTGAGCGTGAAACACCCTCAACCAGCAGGTGACCACTTTTAATCACAAGGTGGCTGCACAGTTTGGCTGCTTGGAGGCAACCTCTCAAATAATTGTGGTTTAAGTCTGATTCTATGATCACTCACGGACAGGTTGGCGAAGTTTTGCAAAATCTGCTGTCTATAAAAACGGACTAGCAACATGCTGCAAGCAATCTGAGTCAGTCTGCGCTAATAAGCATTTGCAACATGTGTTTCTGTAACAGGGGACTCGACAAAAATTGTTGGCAACTGGTTGCATTTGGTTTATATTCCTCTATAAAACCAAGGTTGTCAAGTACGTATGTTGTTTTGTGGCCCTTGTCTTTGAAACAACTATTAGAAAAGCAACAAGACTGTACGTTCATTGCACATAGTCGCAGTAATTTTGGTCACATCACAAAATTGATTAGATAAAAACTAAGATACTTGTAAAAACTGAATGCAGAGTTGTGGAGTGAGGAGAACATTTTCTGATCGCTGCTATGTCTAAACAGACTCACTCGTATACAGCTGAAGCAGCAGAGTTTGGAGCAATGTGGACAGAGGCGAGCATCCCTCAGTTTCTCCATGCAAATGAAGCATCGAAACACCTCAGCAATGCTCTGCACAGGGACAGAAGAACGTTTTAAACCGACTACAGCCACAGAACTCAAGACCACAGATTATGAAGATTAAACCATGCACATTACATGAATTTGGTAAGTAATACACTATACAATACAATATATAATGTAATACATCATAGGAGTCTAACAGTGAAACTGACCTCAACACTTTGCTCATCCATTTCAGCCAGTTTGATGTTCTGGGCCTCACAGACAAGTCAAACAAGTATTCTAAAAAAGAAAAACAGTATAAGGATATATCAATAAACAAACTGTGCTTTAGTTGGACAGTTGAAAGTAGGCACCTGACATTTGAGATCAAGGTTTGCAGGATTTGAAACCTCACAAGCATTTCAGAAGGTTTACAGATGTGATGTAGAAACTTGATGGCTTTACTGCAAGCACACTGAGAATGGACCCCTAATTTTTGCTTTAATTACTTACATTTCTTAAATAAAACATCACTGTATAGAAATAGTTTTTTAATACAATTTAGTAATTTTAAGTATTACTAAAACAAATAATATTACTTTTTAAAATAAATACATCACTTAATTGTTAAGTTTAAATCTATACTCACAAGCCACTTCATTATTACCCCCATTCAACTGGTAGTTAACACAAATATCTAATCAGCCAAACACACAGCATCAACTCAGTACATTTAGGCATGTAGACATGGACAAGACGGCCTGAGGAAGTTCAAACCGAGCATCAGAATGTGGAATAAAGGAGATTTAAGTGACTCTGAAGCATAGCTGTTGGTGCCAAATGGGACCTATGACTGCATAACACGTTGAACCTTGAAGCAGAAGATCAGATGACCACACCGAGGACCACTATTGACAGCCAAGAACACGAAAATGAGGTTCACCAAAACTAAACAGGACAACAGAAGATTGTTGAATTTAGTGTAAAAAATTGGTGCTATAAAGATGTGGGGGACATTTTTTTTGGCACACTTTGGATCCGTCATACTATGTGAACGTCTTTTAAACACCACACTTAGTATTGTTGCTGACTATGTTCTAAAAGGTGCTTCTAATGAGCTAATGTGCCATGTGAAAAAGGTCAAATCCCCTCAAACCCGTTTCTTGACCATGACAACAAGTACTCAAATGTCATTTACAGTAATCAGTCCAGTACAGTACCTTTGGGATGTGATGGAACAGGCGATTCACATCATACATGTGCAAATGAAACACCTGCAGCTGTGTGATGCCATCATGTCACTATGGACAAAATCAAAGGAACGTTTCCAGCTATTTATGCCACAAAGAATTAATGCACTGCTGAGGGCACAAGGGGGTCAAACCTGGTACTAGGAAGGTGTAATGTAGCTGGTGAGTGCATATGGTCCGGCATGTCTGGAGCCTTTTTTGCAACTTTAAAAAGCAATTTACTCAAATGCTTAATAAAGAGAATATTTATATGCATATTTATAATCATACGGTTCTTGGAGTGAGTGCATACACTCATGAAGTTTAGTAACTTCCGGTCACTGCAACAAGCCCAGGTACAGTTTACCGCCGGATGGGTACAGGACCTTGAAACGCACCGTGTAGAACGAAAGACCATCGTACGTATCATAAGTTTACCAGTCTCACAAATCGTCGTCATAAATACACATTCGTTAACCGTTTATTAATAGGACCTTTGAGCTCAACGGTAATTAATTAGTAGTGGAAATAATTTCTGGTACGCATCACAGAAATGTAGCAGTGACAATAATACTGCATGCTGTAATCGTACTGGGCAATTAGTGATACAAAAAACCTGTTTTATCCTGTGAATAAAAGTATATGTTTTTGTCAATGTACCATAATAACAGAGGCGAAACGCAATATTGTGTCAGGACAATTCACTATTTATGCACAATAAACAAAGGAGCATAGCGCGACAATTTCTGTTCAGCGCCAGACTTGCTTGTAACGTAGCATAAGTTGTATTTATTTATTTTTATTATCATTTAATTATTTCTTGTGAAAGCAAAAATGGCACATCTTTTACTTTGACATATCGTATATTAAATGGGGTTTGGAAGGTCTGGCCACATAAAAATCCAGGAATGTGCGGTAGTAAACAGCAGTTTTTTTCAGGTATTTTTTTAATATTATTTTTTTTTTTATTTAATATCCGAGTAAATGGGGAAAACGATCAAAATTGTCACCCCTGCAGCTCTAATCGATACTCAATAGTTGCACGTGGTGAAGATGAATGTAAACCTCAGTAACATCAGTGCAACTGTGTCTGTAGAGCACAACACAAACAGCGGGCTCGCCTACATTAGCAACAACATGACAGTTGTTGTGAACGGCAGCCTGCAATCTGTGCCAGAGGCCCAGCATCAGCAGACACAAAACCAGTCCGACAGCAGCAATGGCAGCAGCTATAGATGGAAGGAAGATATACCCTGACAGCAGCATATAGCAGGATAGCCTGAATACAAAAACATATATAAGTGCGTGTATGTATATGTATATATCTAGAAAGAGAGAGAGAGCTTTCATAGCTAGCTTGCTCGCATTAGCAGGGTCGTTCACTCACCTAGACGGAGAATCGGCTCTGTCCACCCCGCCAGATAAACAAACCACGGCTAACGGCTACATTATAATATATTACAACACCTCCGTCGCGTAAAGCACCGCAAAAAAATAAAAAAGACTAAAGTGCTACTCAGATTTAGCTGCGACAAAATAGACCTCACACTGTGCCGCACCAAGGATGGTATACAGCTGCCTTTCTACCTAAGCTGAAGATGTAACAGTGGTTGGTGAGAGGCTGTTTGTCCCCTAGCAATAACCAATCGAATGGCTTTTTTTCTTCTTCTATTAATTTTATGTGTTTGCAAGTGACAGAAAGTCTGTGGGGCTTTGCCGCCCCCAAATGGAAAGTTTGGGAAAGTACAGCGTAAACCTAAGGCAGGGCAAAGCACAAAGTGTACACTGTATATCGTAAACTGTATCGTATACTATATATAACTGTCTAATATATATATATTAGTATATTATATATGTATATTATATAATATATATAATATATATATATATATATATATATATATATGATGTATATATATATATATATATATATATATATATATATATTATATATATATATATATATATATATATATATATATATATATATATATATATATATATATATATATATATATATATATATATAGGTTAGAGTGAGACAGTTCAACTGCCAGACTGGGAGTAGAGGAAAAATTTATCTTAAAACCTTCTCTTTAAACTGCTGCTGTGTCCACAGTGTTCGGTCTACAGCTATTATTTGACCCTCAAGACGTAGCCATCGTTATTCTCTTTCCAACAGTGTGTCTTCCAAAGCTCAGAGATGTAAACTTTTTGAACTGTGTGGATCCAAGTAGGGGGATCACATTTCAGTCATTCAGTGATTAAAAGAATATGAACTTTTAATATTCTTTCGGTTGTTTTCTGACTCTATTTTCGTTTGTCATTACTCAGCTTTTTCTAATTTACATTTTAAACCTGTTCAGCTACTTTTCAACTTCTTCTGTGTGAACGTCAGCTTTCAACAGTTCTGCACTTTTTTCAGGTGAAAAATTCAGTATTTTTCAGCTCATTCAATATTTTTAACTTAACATTCAGCAAATATATCATTTCAGCGCGAAACATTCAGTTTCTTCATTCATTCATTCTTCAGAAAATGCATTTTCTAGCATTCATACTGAGAACATATTCATACTTACTTCATCACTGGATTGTTATTAACTTCATAGCTGGGAGGCAGTGATTACACTGGAACATTATTAACAATTTTGACACATAATAGTTTGAAAAAATCCCCTGGTTTGTTCTCGACACCCACTCACAGAACCGTATTAATTTTCATGGCATAGATAAAAGAAGGTGGTGGAAACATTCCTCCAAGATTTTGGTCCATACCAACATGATAGTATCACACAGTTTTTGCATTTGTTGGCTGAATATCCAGGATGGGAGTGCCCCTTTTCACCACATCCAAAAGGTGCTCTATTGTAGTGGGATCTGGTGACTGTGGAGGCTACAGTGGGGCAATCGTGGCTCAAGAGTTGGCAGTTTGTCTTGTAATCGGAAGGTTGCCAGTTCGAGCCCCGGCTCGGACAGTCTCGGTCGTTGTGTCCTTGGGCAAGACACTTCACCCGTTGCCTACTGGTGGTGGTCAGAGGGCCCGGTGGCGCCAGTATCCGGCAGCCTTTCCTCTGTCAGTGCGCCCCAGGGTGGCTGTGGCTACAATGTAGCTTGCCATCACCAGTGTGTGAATGGGTGGATGACTGAATGTGTAAAGTGCTTTAGGGTCCTTAGGGACTAATTAAAGCCCTATACAAATACAGGCCATTTACAGTGAACTCATCATTATGTGCAAACCAGTTTGAGTATATCTAAGCTTTGTGACCGTGCTGGAAGCAGCCATCAGAACATGGGTACTCTGCTATGGATGAATGGATCCATGCTGTCACTGAATGCATATTTTCGTTTTCTCATCAGTCTCTATAAATCCCAGAATTGGTTGTGAAGGAAAATCCCAGCATACATCACCACCTATAACGGCTTCAGCTCTTCTGGAAAGACTTTCGGCATTGTTTAGGAGTATGTTTTGGGGAATTTTTGACCGAAAGCACATTTGTGAGGTCAGACACTGATGTTGGACGAGAAGGCCTGACTCACAGTCTCCGCTCTAATTCATTCCTAAGGTGATGACAAGTTCTCCTGGGAACTGCCAATCCCAGACTCATCCGTTGGCTCATCAGGCAGAGAAGCATGATTTGTCACTCCAGAGAACACATCTCTCCCCTGATGCCCTGATTTTTTGGCTCATGATCAAGAAAGCATCTACCTTAATGCATTTCAGTTGGCCTCTTTTACCTTTCTTTGAGGTTAACGATTAGTTATGTAAACTAAAAATGAACACCATGTCAGGCATTTTTTTCCTAACCCCCTTTGTTCTGTTGTTGTGTTTAAGTATCTGCTGTGGTTTAATGTGCTGCAAGGAGATGTGCCACTCTCTCAGAGATATAAAAAAACAGTCATCCCACAGAACAAGAGGGAAAACAAAAGGAGCTGCGCAACTTAGCAGAAGCACATGACTAAAGACAACAAGTATGTGAATGAATCTCGTAAAACCCAGGGAGTTGAGTCAGATGCTGTCTAACTGCTGGGTAAAAAAGTAAAACAGCAAAAATGTTAAACATGTTGGATGGTTAAATGCATTTGGAGATGAGGTGTTTTATTATTGCTTAAATTAAACAACAAAAAATAACTAGCTGTGAACATCAGCAGGATCTACTTCTCATGTTAAAAACTGTGACAAGTGTCATCAGTTTCTCATATAATGTTGTTACAACTGCTGTTGTAATGTTGTCTAAATATGCAAATCTCAGTGTGCAGGTGCCTCTCCGGGATTGGTGGATCCAAAGGACTGACCATACAGACTGGCTAAGTAGTTGGACACGACTTATTTAATGGCAGTGCATCAGGAGATCTTTTGTTACTTGCCCAGTGCCATTCGCCTTATACAGGAGTAGTAGGGGTGAACTACCATTCTGTTTGATTATATTAGGTTTTCCATAGTTAGGGGGGCATGTTGCTGTCATTTGGTTTCATTCTTATGAGCAGGTAAGTTTGTTAAATCGTTGAGGTAGGCCCCTTTTTGTTGTTGTTTTGGCATTAGGTCCATCTTGAAGTTATAACCACCTCCTTCTTTTGTGAAAAATAACCTAACGAATCAAATTATGATAAATAAATCATTGTCAAACTTTACCAGTTGTGTGATGTGGCTGCTGACGAGGATAGATCACCCTTGTGTTGTGGTCTGGCCACCCCTAGATGGGCCATAACAACGTAAATTTGCATGTTTTTCTGCTATTCCTGGGTTTTAGATGAATTATTGTATAAATGCATTCAATCAAAACCTACAGCACAGATCTAGATGTGCAAACATGAGCTGTTGAGTTAAACATATATGTGCTCCACCAAGCAGCACCTAGTGCTTTCATAGGTTACTAACATACACTAATACTATAAATGGCTCCTGCTTAATGAGGAGTTTTCTAACACGTTTACATGAAACTTAGTATTTTTTATTATTATTCCCCATTTAGTTCTATCGTTTTTTCAAATTGCTCGATATTTTAAACTTTTAAACTCATTTCAGTCCTCCTGTTATAGCATACAGAGCCAGGACAGAAACGTAGGACAAACACAGCAGAAATAAACAAAAAAAACAAATCAATTATCAGCGCAGGAATCTAACGTGAGAGCAAACCAGGAAATAACACAAGTGCAAAGCTGATATGAGCATTACATAAAAGAGGAAAAATGGAAACAATCCAACAGAAAGTCTGACAAAGACAGGTGAGGACAGGATAGACAGATGAAGGACAGATGGTGAGAAAGAGTTAAAGAATGAGGTGCATGTAAACATAATCCTACAGACGTGAAGACGATCAGTAAAAAATAGACAAAACATGTGAGGAAAACCCCCAGCAAGGTAATACAGGAAGTAACCAAATGAAATATACTAAATACAAGATGATAACAGAAACATGTAGGCGAGCATGTAGATGGGACAGGGTTACCATCAAGCTTCTGGAAAGGCCTTTCCAAAGCCCTTACCTCAACTGCATTGAAAATTTGTGGACTATGTGTAAAAGCTGGGTCCCTGTAATGAAACCAACCAGTTCAAACTAACTGTGCCACTTCTGCCAAGAAGAGTGGCCAAAATGTTCAGCCAGAATTATGCCTGGTGGCTACCAAGAGTGAATAGGTGAGATGCAATTTGCAAAGCAACATTTAACCAAATATTAGTGGGGATGTATGCATATATTTGACGCTGTATGACCCTGTGTAGATTAGAGATTACGTAAAGTTAAACTTGCACCCAATTCTTGTCTTTTTTGTTTTGTTTTGTTTGTTTTTTAAGTAATTAAAAATGTATGCTTTCAAATCATTTTGCCCTTGAAAAAGAACAGATCAATTAAACAAAAAATCATTAAATTACCGTGACATTAATGCCCATGATGAGTATATGAAAACTTCTGACCAAAATTGTATATACTGTTGATTTGACACACTCAACAGATATCAAACAAAACACCGTGGTTGGATGGCAGCAGATGACTTGCAACAGGTGGTGGCTAGATTATATCTATCTATCTATCTATCTATCTATCTATCTATCTATCTATCTATCTATCTATCTATCTATCTATCTATCTATCTATCTATGCATATATATATATATATATATATATATATATGTGTGTGTGTGTGTGCGTGTGTGCATAGCGAGAGTGAGTACTCAGTACTTTGGGAAAGCTCCATGAAGGCAACAGAAAGCAGTGATGAAGATCTGACCTGTAGAAACCTTTTAACAACTTTTAAATCTATTACATCAGTATTGCTAACCAAACACTCTCTTTCTGGCATGTTGGATGATCTCTAAGCCAATATAAAAAAAAAAAGAGCAGGGTGTAAAACTGAAAATAAAACATAATGGAGTACATCCAATCAGACCCCACCCCATGAGATCGTACAAGTCATCATTTTATGTATTAGTATCAGTGTTTCTTTATCAGCCTCTCACATCATTATGGAGGAATTTTGGCCCACTCTTGGTGTTTGTGGTCATTTGATTATTCATAGCTCTCTTACAGTTTTTCTCAGTCGCTTTGGTGCGTTTCTCAGAACACCATTAACATTTGCACAGCAGTTAGTGCATTTCCCAAAACAATTAGT